ACATTTCTGTTTTATTATTTCTTATGTAACTTTTGTGTTCTTGTAATCTGTATTTTAAATTTCTTTTAGTTTGACCAATATAAACACTACCACATTCAAGTTCTATCTTATATATACCTCTCTTATCTGTTAATTCTATTCTGTCTTTATCAATTCCATATCATATCTTTTATCTTATTTATTGGTTTGAAGATAGGGTAAAAATTCTGATACTTTTCAATACTTTATATAATTGACTTGTTAAACCTGGAACATAAGGTAAACTTGCAGTTTCTTTTTTGTTTTTTTCATAAGCAGATTTTAATGTGGTATTTTTAATTGAATTTGTATTTTTGTTAAACTTCTCAAATGCTTCGTCTGCTATATTTGGATCCAATCCTCTATCATTAGCTATATACTTAATTAATAACAATTCGTTATTTAAATCTTCCTGTATTGAACATATTTTTATAGCTCTATAAACATATGTATAAAATGCTGATATTTTTGGGGTTTTTATATGACATGATTCTTTGTGTGGCGGCATAACAACAGCAAAAGGTTTTCTATAAACTGATGTTTCTAAGTTACCTTCTTTCTTCCTAACTAATACGTCTAAGAAATTAATGCTATTATTATTATTATCTTCAATTTCAATGAAGTAATGGGACAAGGGGGAAAGTATAAAATAGTCTTGTAAGTTACTCCTGAGGATGACGTAGATCACAGATCACGTCGAAACATGTACTTGTAGAGAGAGATTTTAAAGTGGAAGTCGTACGGCTTCAATAAAGTTTTTATTGTGTAAATATAAAACGTTGTTTTTAATTATTTATTATGATTTAAAAAAATTGAATATCTTGTCCAAAATTGTAACTATGATGTAAACTTTTAATATTTGTAAAAGTTTATTTTTTTGTTGCTAGCTTTTGCTATGCATGGATATACAAGGTCCAGTTTTTTGTTTGAGATTGCATCTGAGCTGTGTAATATCTCAGTTAGCTTTTGTTAAGCCTTTTTTTTCACCTTCTAAAGAAAATTTGTACAGCAAAACCTGAATACCTGACAAAGTTTATATTAATTTAAGGTGCAATACAGTCGTGTCCTTCTATAGAAGGTTTTTTCTGAAGAAGAATTATATATTTTTTTATTTATATACAAATATTAATATCCCATAATGATAAAAAATTTGTGCTTTAGAAGGATTTTTTTTTCATGAAGAAAAATTTTATTTATTTATTTATATACAAAGATTAATATCTCATAATAATAAAAATTCCTTATAATTAAAAATGTGATTGAAGAGTATATGCAGATAATTATGGATTTGATTTCTGAGTATTACCCTAATTAGTATTGATTATTTAGTGATAGTTAATGAGACTTGTACAAGTTAAGTTTGAGTTTTAAAATAAGGATCACCAGACCAAATAATTGTAACACTCTAAAATCAAAGGGATGAATTATTTTAATTTTTATGTATTGTTTGTTATGAAGATTTATTTAAACTTTCTGAGATGTTATGTTGTATTATCTTAGACTTTGAAAGTGGCTTTGGGGATCCAAGGAGCTACATTACGTCACAGAATGACATCTACTCCAGAAAGTTGGCTGACTCAGTGCATTGACTTCTTTGATGTAGTTGACTACCCTGTTGCTGGTTATGTGCCTCCAACTATTGTTACAGAATTACATTTACATTTATGGAGCTGTGCTATTGATTACAGGTTAGGAATTATAAAATTATAAATGTAATCCTTATTCATTCACCATAGAGTTAGTACAGATCGTCTTGTACGGAAACTGGTTTTTCATAAAATCAAAATTATTTGTTAGGAAAAACAAAGTTGATGTAATAACTGAAACCTTGATATATAGGACATGGTTGGTTTTAGTTTGAATAGTTTTTGATATATAGGACATTGGTTGGTTTTAGTTTCAATAGTTTCTTGATATATATGACACTGGTTGGTTTGAGTTTGAATAGTACTTTGATATATAGGACATGGTTAGTTTTAGTTTGAATAGTACTTTGATATATAGGACATGGTTGGTTTGAGTTTGAATAGTTTTTGATATATAGGACATTGGTTGGTTTTAGTTTCAATAGTTTCTTGATATATAGGATACTGGTTGGTTTGAGTTTGAATAGTACTTTGATATATAGGACATTGGTTGGTTTTAGTTTCAATAGTTTCTTGATATATAGGATACTGGTTGGTTTGAGTTTGAATAGTACTTTGATATATAGGACATGGTTGGTTTGAGTTTGAATAGTACTTTGATATATATAGGACATGGTTGGTTTGAGTTTGAATAGTACTTTGATATATAGGACATGGTTGGTTTGAGTTTGAATAGTTTTTGATATATAGGACATTGGTTGGTTTTAGTTTCAATAGTTTCTTGATATATAGGACACTGGTTGGTTTGAGTTTGAATAGTACTTTGATATATAGGACATGGTTGGTTTGAGTTTGAATAGTACTTTTATATGTAGGACATGGTTGGTTTGAGTTTGAATAGTTTCTTGATATGAGGACATTGGTTGGTTTGAGTTTGAATAGTTTCTTGATATTGAAGACATTGGTTGGTTTTAGTTGGAATAGTTTCTTGATATTGAAGACATTGGTTGGTTTTGGTTTTTCATTAACAGTAAAACCGGAAAGTATGTTTCATTTGTTTCTTATTTTTGCAAAAATACAGATCACTAAAAACTTGTCTTAAAACTTCTTCGATGGCAACGCTGCCAAGAACTTCTAAATCTTACTAATTTGATAATACACTGCTTATAAACTACTATAATCATATTGATAGTGTCTTGTTACATATTGTTGATATAGCTACTGAAACTCTTACTTTCTTGTGAACTAGCGAGTTGTATGTGTGTCAGATTAGTCATGACAGTTAATGGTGTTTGTAGCTATGTATGTGAGTAGTCATGACACTTAATGGTGTTTGTAGCTATGTATGTGAGTAGTCATGACAATTAATGGTGTTTGTAGCTATGTGTGAGTAGTCATGACAATTAATGGTGTTTGTAGCTATGTATGTGAGTAGTCATGACAATTAATGGTGTTCATCTCTTTGTGAAGTTTAAGCTCAGAAAGATGCTCTGGTTTCTTCAGGTGGTTTTGTTCAGTGATAAAGTTTAATTGTGAACAAACCTTCTTTGAAATTTTGTCACTTGGAATATTCCAAGGTAAAGATAAGTTTCAGTCTGTGCTTTTCCTTAATTTATAACAATGTCATTTATTACTACATTGTCTTTAGTGTGATGTGTAGAAATTTGTGAGATTTTATGAGTCTCTTCAGGCATTAAAAAATAGAATTGGAAAGTCGAACTTTCGTGAAAAGCTGCACAGTGTTTACATTAAACATTCAGATTTGTGTATTAACTTTTAAACAACACTGCCTGTTTAAAGCTGATTTATTACAATATTTTAATTAAAGATTCTTCTTTATTTGATTTTTTCCATTTAAACTTGTATAATTTATTTCTCCTTATCAAGACTATTTTATAGCTTTTCTTGTTTTAGTTTTCTTCAGTATATGTTATCAACTTTGACATTGGAAAATCAAATGGTTATTTTTCAAATCAGTATTTTATTTTAAATAATTACTATGTATTCACAATAATTTTTATCTGTGTTAATTTTGTTTTTATTGACAAATTTAGATTAAATTTATGCTACAAAAACAGAGTTTATTCAGTAAGCGGATGAAAATTTTATTGTGGATTTTTTATATCCTGGACAGTCCAACTTTTCAGCATTTTTTATATATATGCTCTCAGAGTTTCAGTATTGTTTTGTTTATGTTTAGGCCACTGTACTTACCACTACGAGCAATGGTAACAATGGAGAACTTCAGCATTTCCAGTAATATTGTTGCTCACACAACCACATCAGTTTTGAGGTTTGGAGCTATTATTTATTCTGAATTTTACTATACTTTGATAGTTAGCTTTTTGTACATTGAAAGATTCTTATTTTTGAAGCATTCTGACAAATTCCATTCCTTTATAGAAATATACAGTTTTATTTATTTTATTTTTTTATAATAAGAGATTCAGAAAGACAGATATGCCTCTTTAACCTGCTGTTTACTGCTTGGTTATATTAGCAGTAAAACTAAATAATGTGTTACGCCATTAAAAACATTTTTCTTTTATTAATTTAAATTTTCATTATGAAAAGGTACACTTAAATAGTGATCCTGATTGTTAATGACATATAAGTAGTACTCAAGAGAAGACAACGAATTCTGCATCAGTGGCAAACTTCATTAACAAAAACACTGAGGTTAAACAAATCACTAAAGAAAGAAAAGTTTTTGTCTTTATCGCTTGTGTAGTAATTATAAATTTTTTAAAGTATAAATTGATAAAAAGCTTGAATCCTCATCCTATCTGCTTGTTAAGCATGTGTTCTACCAAACAAGATGTTGGGCATGAGAGCTATGAGCGTTGGTCCTCACTTCTTTGATTTATAAAGTGGTTTGTTTCATTTGGCATTTCAAGCTCAGAAATTCATGTATTACCTCTTTATTAGTGTATTCTCAGCTGATATCCTTCTGTGTACCTTAGCACACTTTTTGTAATGGAAAGGATTTGAATGAGTTCTGTAACTAAGGAATTGGAATATGTTGATAAAGTCGAATTTTTTTTTAAGTCACAGTTTACTTTTTCTTTTACATTATTCAATACACAGCCAACTTATCAACACCTAACAAAGAACTTCATGCTCACTAGTTAGATAGTCAGATAGTAGGAACGTTTTTGGGGCAAACTCCATGGTGACCATATGAGTTGGTTATAAACATTGTTGTTTTCAGTTTTAACTACAAAGATAAAACCAGCTCCTTCTAGTCATTTAAAACTGGCGATTTTTTTGTTATAAAGATATTTAACTATGATGGAATTTTATGGTGATATTGTGGGCCTTATCTAGTAAAATGAAGTTGCATGTTGTTTCTTTAATTAACAGATGTTTTAAAGAAAAGTGAAATTCAAGTTTGTACCTTAATTTTATCATTATAACCATGGGGAGTGCTAGAGGAAGCTTTTAAAGTTTGTATTGTTATTTTCAATAGTTTTTGTAACTATGATATTTTAAAGAGCTTGATTATTTAAAATATATGACATGCAGTAAACGATTGATGTCTTTAGCATCCAGTTGTTCTGTATATCTTTTCCTTTGAAAAAAAAAAAGTTGCTAAACAATTCATTTCCTGAATAATTTGGAAGCTTAGAAAATATCTCATCATAAACTTTTAAATACAAGAATTACATTTTTAGAATTTTTTTTGGGGGGTACTTAAAGAATTGGAAATTGATTATTACTACCAGTTATCATTTATTAGATGTGATTTTAAATGTTTTGGGTGAAATGTGGAATGTAGATGTTTTCAAATTTGATGACGAGGAACCCACTTTGAGACTAATAATGCTTGGAGGCAACTTGAATGGGTAATGAAGAAAAACTTTAATATAAGTTTAACATAACCACAAATGTACAACGTTTCGACAAGGTTTTGTCATCATCAGGCTGTTATATTAAATTTATATTAAAGTTTTTCTTCATTACCCATTCAAACCATATCCAAACATTATTAATATAGATGTTGTTAAAGGAAGAGGGTGCTTTGTAATTAACATGTCAATTGGAATAGAAACATGGCTTGTTAAACTTATTTTATATACATTGTGTTTGAAATGCTCTATTTTACAGAATCATAGCTGAAGAAATGTGTCTATTTATTTCTGACAAAGTTGAAACTGATGCAGTAGATCTCAAAAAGAGTAAGTGAACTCTGTCTTGATATTATGTGTTGCAAAATTTAAAAGTTATCTTTTTGGTTCAAGTAGTGTAAAAACAAAACACGCGTATACAAGTTTCTAATTATATTGGTGAATGCATGAATATAATACTTGAAAACAATTAAATGAAGTGAACTTTATTTTATTGGGATATTAGTCAAGTTACAGTCAACACTTAATTAAACTATTATCAATGTATGTTAATAAACCTAACATCAAAGCTTAGTTTGTAACCCAATTTTTAATATTACCTAAGTTTTAATTTCAAAAATCTCAGTCTTCTCTTGCTTGACACATCTGTGCTCTGATCTCTCCCACTTCACTTGAACAACACAGCTCCTATAGTGTCTAAAGGATTAGAAACACAAAGTGCACATATTGTCAAGGAAGAATAGAAAATTTTAACTCCTCCTCCTCTTTATTTACTGAGATATCAATGAATATATAAAACCCAGCCCCTTCCATTGTTTTTCTTCATTTTAAGCCACTTATTCACTCATGCCTATTTCTGTAATAGACATGTCACCAAACACAGTAGTGTTAATGTATAGGGATGGGTCATGAAAAAAATGGTGGCCGCATTCAATCTATTACTCTATGATGCTTACAAAAGGCTAAAGTTGAGTTATAGATTTATTTGAGCACCTAATTGCCATTATTGAGTATTTCACAGCTTGTATAACGCTATTATTATTCTGTTCTTCTACCATACATATTTTTGTGGGGAAATAATAAAAAAAGGAAAACTAACACTTAGCAATGAGTTCATTTTATAAGTGTATATTATTTCTATGTTTCAGAAATAGCAGTTTCATTTCTGATCACTAGGTGGCAGTACATAATTATTATATAACGTCCGTTTGTGACTTTTCATTGCACAAACACGATATCTACCAAAACAATTTCAATACAAAGAAAAAATAATCTCAATTAATATTCTAGGTATCAAGTACTTATGCAACTGACAGATCTGTGTGCATGTTATTGATGTCTAAATTTAAAAACACCAGTTTCTTAATTATCAAACAATACATTATTTAGCAGTCTTCTTTTCTTCAAATTTTCACTGGAGCTGAGCCTGGCAGCTATGTATATATGTTTTATCATACTTCCTGGCCTGGGATCTGTATAATGTCTTCCCTATTAACTCTCTCAATGCACGCTTGGTCTATTTGACTGACCACATGACTTTTTTGTACTCGTTTAAAGTCTTTATAGATTTAATACTTTATAACTCTCAATATAGTGTGTATATCTTCATGAAATTTGGCAGTTTTTCAGTTAATATTACAAGTCTTTCACACACAAAAAATTATATTTTTTAGTGAAGTATTCTAAATAAAATAAAGATTTGTCCATTAATATATTGAGTATTTGTTTTGAATAGTCTATGTACAAAGTAATTTTCATGTTAAAATTAAAAATAGTTTTCCTCATCTCCAAAATCTCAAATTTCCTTTGTGTAATCCCTGAAACCTCCTAAATGCATTTCAAACGTTTTTTTTCAGTAAAACTTCATAGTTTATCTGTTATTTTCTCTACCCTATCTCAAAATGAGATCAGTAAATTCGATTGTCCTCATAACCACCAGAAAAAAAATCGAAATAAATTTAAATTACCCTTTTTTTCTTTTTAGAATGACTTCAAATTTTAACCTGAAACTACATCCGTTTATCCTAAGTTGATCTAAGTTCGTAACATTATACATCTATTTATAATTAAATTATTATTATTTTATTGCCCTTTGAACTGTGTCTAACTGCTATCCGTGCCATTATAAGTTGTAAATTACTCTGGGAACGTGCAGCTTACATTATGTTATCAAATTACATTACCCACGAGTTGCTCGGGTGCATGCCTCATTGACCATTTTAATTATATTATTATTATTATTATTACTTAAATAACTTAAAAAGAACCATATTTCTAATTTTAGTTACTTTTAGAATAATAAATAAAGAATAAATATGAAAAACAAGAAATAAAGTACTTGCCCAATCTTTTTTTTTTCTGGATTTTATCAACTAACATATACTTAAGTTATTGAACAGATATTCTGTGTATGTATTAAAATTATGATTACTTACTTTGAAGTAACTACCTAAGAATAGGGAAAATGAACCCTGAACCAAACTGTTGACTGGAAAAAAAAAAGAAAAACTTGTATTACAATATATTCTGTGATGTGTGTCATACATTTCGAAGGAGTACATGATGTTCTAATATACAGAAACAGCTACACTGGATTTTATTAACTAATTCATATTGAAATTACTGAACATGTATTCTGTATATGTACTAAAAATTATGATTACTTACTTTGAAGTAACTACCAAAGGCGTTTTACAAACTCCGATTACCCATTGGAAATAGGCAAAATGCCCATAAAAGAAGACTTTCAAAACCAAAACTAAAATGGCATAATAAATGGTAGTGGAACCTCAGTTTCTATTGGTTGGCAAATAAGTGTGGTGAAAGTGAGAGAGGGTAGTATCATTTATAAGAATGTGCCCAAATAACACTTATATATACTTATGCTGCGAAAATACACACACATCTAATGGATGACCATAGTACTGAAACACCAGCTATGTAATTGGATCAGCCCAATGCTGAACCATATAATAAATGTTTTTACACATTCTAATTGCAATTTTATTACCCTATTATAAGTTTTGTAGGAAATATAAACTGCTGTAACCCATATTGTGTTCTCGGAGCAAGGGGGAATGTCACCTCACTGAATACGCGTGCTTTTTTGCACTGGAGAGGTTCATATTACGGTTGTACATAAATAGTTTTATAACACAAGCAGTGATTTATTTCTTTATTTTCAGCGGGTTTGTAATTTGTCGTTGACAGTAAAATAAACACAGAAAATACATGGGATATGTTTAGCAGTTGAAACTGTCAAGGGAAATACTTTGAAACTTCATGATCAATAATGAAGAAAAAGGAAACAGCTGTTCATTATATTTCTGATTTTACAATTTTTCTTTTCATTATACTTTGATGAGGTGTCTACAGGCTGAAGAATCAAATAATAAACATAATAACAGATAAAATATAACGTTTTACTGAGAAAAAAGTTGTATATATATTTAGGAGGTTTTAGAGGTTATGCAAATGAAATTTGAGATTTTTGAAACAAAGAGTGGTATTTTAAATCTTAAAATGAAAATCACTTTGCACTGGGACTAGTTAAAAAAAAACTTTTCACAGACAAATATAAGTAAAATTACTTCATTAAAAAAATCTCATTTTTATGTGTGCAGAAGACGAGTACAAATGGTTACGAGGTCAGTCAAATTGACCGATCCTATGTTGAGAAAGTTAATATAACTGTTATACTATAGAATATACTAAGGATAAGTAATAATACCCAGGTGCACACCCTCAGGATCAACTTAGTATGGGTGCAAAATTGCAGGTTTCTAGGTTCCTTCCTCTTGGATCTGTGGTGGTCACACAGACACATCTTATTATTATTATACATTACAAGTATGTTCTATACAAAACAAAAACAACAATTTTCAGTAATTTTCTTTTTTGCTAATGATTTTTGTGAATTTACTGAGTCTGAATGCAAGATTATTTTCTTGCTAAGAATAAAACACATCTTCAACTTAATTCTTATACTGTATTTGCATAACCTTAAAAACCTCTTTAATGAACATCAAAATTTTTCGTTTCACAATAAAACTTATTTTCTGTACCCTAACCTAACAAAATCAGGAATATTGTGTAAAATGAAAATTTTTAAAATATTAAAGAAATCTAACTTACTTTTTTTTCGTTCTATAATATCTGCATATTGTAACTGATAAACCCTATTTATTCTTATAAGCAAAACTAATAGATATTTCAAATCTAATTTCATTTAGTTCATCACTTTATGGCTGCATTTAGTCTCAGAGTACATTGAAAGCCATTTATCACAGCAAAACAGCTTCGTGTAAACAAACAATTGGGGTATAAGGCATGTCTTGCAATGTGTGCATACTATATTGAGTATCACAATTTTTTTTTTTCATTTAAGTTTTCTTATCTAACATAATAAGTTTCTAATTTTTACATTTTAGTTGCTCTTATAA